TAAGCCCCAAAAAAAACCGCGACCTGCGACTACCAATATTTGTAAGCGACTTTACAGAAAAACAAGCCCAAAGTCGCTTATAATAAGCGGACTTGGCAACACTGCTAAAGACTGATGACTTTCTCCCTGATTTTGTGTTTAGATGGGCGGATACAATTTCAGAGTTTAAAAAAACTCCCTACGTTGCAGAACCAATAGTAAATCCGCAGGGCGGTCCTTCGGTGGCTCGCCGAACTCTTGTGCTCGTAAACATAGTCCAACTAGAATAGGCCGACCAAACGTACTCTTTTGCCCGGACATGTCCACTTTTCACGTCCCGTCCGGGGCGTCCGGGGGTTTTTTATAAACTGATGATAATTTTCCGTATGTTTGTGTGTGTGTGTTAGAGTGCGGCACGGGCCGCATATTTCTGTCCGAACCCGAACCAAGTCCGACATTATTTAATGACCAAAGCACTGAGTTTGTGTCACACAGTTGTTACGGTTACAGCCTATTTAACAGGCCGGGTGTGCTCTGAGGAGAGGGAGACCTCCGTGTTTGAGACGGGAGCGGGAGGCGGGAGGTCCGACACTTCCAGCGAGAGGAGAGGGAGAAATATAACACAATAAGATAAAATAGGAAAAACCTGTCTCCCTCTTTTATTTTATTTTCAGCGTTTAATCAAGGCGGAGGCGGGCGGCTGGAGGTCCGAGACTTCCAGCAAGGAGAGAGGTAGAAACAAACCAATGTGTGTCTGTGTGTGTTATGTTCAGGTGTTGTCACGTAAATAACAGTGCCCAAGCAATGAACAGGACAATAGGATTTTATTTAGGCCTATTTTTACACTACATTTTCACTGAAAGCTGGCCGAATCCGACCTGAGCCCGAATACAATTTATAGCTACATTTTTGACCAAACCCGGCCCGACCCGTCGGGTACCGTCGGGCTCGGATCGCCACACTCTAGTGTGTGTATGTGTCCCTATTGTGGCCTCTGAATTTCTGTCTTTGAGAGATATTATTTTGTAATATAACTGAATTTTCTATCCATACATATAAATTTTAAATATATTAAAATAATAAGGCATCTTTGAGTAAACTGAAAGTATCATTTAAGTAGGCTATGTCGTGGCCGGCCGAGTGTCCTCTTTTTTGGAAATCAAAATATGGTCACCCTAGACTAGAAACACATGTAGTGGTACAAAATGGCTCTAGTCGCTCTAAGTCCTTCATTTCCACAATCTTGTGGACTGAGCACAGGTTTGATAAAACAGAGTTAAAGGGCCACTGTGTAAAATGGGTTGAAAACCGTTGGAAACAGTGACATCAGTGGTCAAATTCTAGATTGCAGGGCTCACTCGCTCACCCTTCCCGTCGGGTAAATGACGGTGGCCTCGTAGGGACAAAAAGCCTTGCGCATGAGTTTTTCAGGAGTAGGTCTATCTAGCGACGAGGTGAATGTTTATTTAGAAATCTAAACCATGTTACGATATTGTAATGAATCCCTCACGAGCAGGAGACCAGAGGAGCGTTCGGGAAAAAGGCCCGTTTATTTGAGCACTCCAGAAACTCCGGTAACACTCCACTCTGTCCCAAACTCTGACTCTTCTGGCGTAACAGACACACTTCTAACTTTACACACATACTCGTTTACCATACCGAGTGGGCACCCCCTCCCCTCTCTGCTCCACCAATCTCCAGCCCGCACACTGACTGACAGCGTAGCCAGTAAACAGAGCTCAGCTGTTTATTTAGCCTAGCAATATCTCCGGACTATAGTAGCTGCAATGGACGACTTTGAACGCGTTTTTGAAGAGTTTCTTGTAGCGGACACAGACCCAGAGCCATACCTGTTTGAGCCGGAGCATACAGATGAGGAACTCCATGTGTTTGATGCTGAGCGGGCGAGAAGAGAGGCTGAATGCACAGAATGGGATTCGGTGCTACTGCTACCATCGTTGGGGAGATATATCATCAGGAGGGAAAGCGCCGCAGAAAGTGCATCACAAGGAGTGAAGTTATGTCTTCTTTTCCTCACAGATGACGGTTCGGGTTCATTCTCTCCTGTTGCGTGGTAAGTGTGGTCCATTCGCAAACTTTATAACTAAAAAAACTTTTCACTACTCTCTATCGACGAACTACTAACACTCTGCTGTTTCCTCCTCCTTCTTCCTTCCTTCCGCATGCGAAACACGTTCTCTGGCTGGCTGGATTGTCCACTCGGTCTGCCGTACATACATGGCGGCGCAAGATGGCGATCTCTCTAAAGCAAGGCCCTTGCTATATATATATATAAAAGCATAATTATAAGGCTACGAAAACCAAACAAATTTTATTTTATAGCGATCATACACTTGTATAAACATATTAATGGGTAGAATATTCAGATTCAGATTCAGATTTACAATAAACCATGCCAAATATTACACACTGGCCCTTTAAATCTCTCGGCATCCATTTTCAAGCTCTCTGTGTGTTTGTGTCCTTGCGGGCGAGAAAAGGGGGAGCGCACATTTCAGGGAGGGCGTGTCCTTTTCAAAAATGCAAGAGGCGTGGCTTTGTTGCCGGCCGTTTTTGCCGGTGTGTTAAACACACTTTAGAAAGGAGTGTCCCCAGACTACCAGAAGGCGGAGACCTCTGATTGTCTGGTGGCGAGACTAGGCAACTTGGAGCTGTGACAGAGAGCGCGTGTCCATGTGGCAGCTATACATTTTTAGGTGATTATTTTGTCACTGCAAATACTTAGATGCCAATCAAGGTATGGTCTAATAACAGTTCTCCAGCTCAGCCAGATTTACCCTGCTGCGCAGCAAGTCCACGCTGTCTCAAACTTGCGTACACGAGCTGAGACCTGACATGAGATTTCATCTGCCCTCCACCTAAGTCCACATTGATTAATGCAGAGCTTTACGTGGAAATGACCGTATGCCCAGTTTTGTGTCGTACAATCGTTTCATAAATGAGGGCCATTGATAGCACCCAGGATTTTGAGTGCACTGAAATAAATGAAATGAAATAAAGTTCATTTGGGTATAAAAAAAGAAAAACATTCTGTGGATACACAAAATAAGTCTCCCATTCATTGTCTATGGAGCAGCTCCAGACTTTATAAATGATGACATCACAAGTTTGAGACTTCTTTCTCTGGTTTCTGGCTTTGAGAGAAAGTAAATCATGATCACAAATATTGACTGAACTTTTCCAGGCCCTGGAAATAACATATTGTAATTCATAATTTGGGTGGTGATCCCCTTTAATGACCCTTAAATTATAATAATGTAAATTTAACTACTGGTATGTCCTTTAACTTTACATTCATAGGTTCATACTAATTGATGCCTTTAGCTGCAATTACAGCTCATAAACCTAATCACAAGGTTATAACTCAAGTACTTAGTTAACCACTTAGTGCAATAACATCCAGGGATTAACACGTTAGGGGCCGACACAACATCAAACACAAACTCTCTTTTCGAGACATTTCCTACATTAATTCTAAAATAGCTCAAATACTTGTAGGCTAAAATATTTTGTAAAGAGCTTTTGCTCATTAGCAGGATTGATCCATGTAGAATGTACGCAATGTGGACTTTGCTAAAAATGTCGCTCAGACTGGTAACTTTCAAAGATGTGTTTGTTTCCATAATGCGTTGGAAATTGCAGAGCACTGACTCCGGGTCTCAAGTGACTGACTTCACTGCTGCTGCTGCCGCTGCTCCCCTTGAGACGCCTGTGGCATTTGTCTGCCAAGCTGCCTGTTTGCTGCATGTCATTAGCTCTCAGACTTGGGTTTGGCAAAAGGCAGCATGCCGTGCATGAAGAATTGTGGGAAATTCGGCAGGCAACCCCCAACCACCCCTCCCCTTCTAGTCTTTAGGAAGCTTCTTTAGTACTCTAAACATGTAGTCTGGAGCTCGTAGGAGACGCAGCTGTTGAAAGCGCACAGGGAACAAACAACACACGCATCTCATTTATTATGTGCGTATTGTTTTGATGTGAATGAGGCCCCATCAGAGTAGGAAGAAGCTTTTTAAAAATTTTTTTTTTTTTGATGAATTCCCCGTCTTACCTCTATCTCAATAAAGCTATTATCATCTCGTTTAGTCGGCACACAAGGACATAATGTATTTGAAATCACACATACACACACACACACACACACACACACACAAAACACTCTACATGATTAAATAAAAAATCAAAAACCTTATCCACAAATAACAACACAAATACAAACCCAAAGCCAGTATCTACCAACCCCAAATGCCTATACCTATAACAGAAGACAGAATTAAAACACAATCAATTCATTAGCAAGGACCACGCCACAACAATATGTCAGTCAAATGTTTAATCGTAATTCAGGAGATGTTAGTTATTGAGGACTGGTGGATGGATGTAAGTGGGGGTGAAGGTGGAAGAGGGATGTCTTCTGGATGTACTGAGATCGGGCAGAGGGAGACTCAATGTGGGGGTTTTGTCTCAGGTTGATTACAGGTCCCCCAGACGGTACCTAGACTGGGACATGGGAGAGGTATGCACCGGATTGAATAAGAAGAGATGACGGAAGAAGGGAAGAGAGGATGAAGAAATGTTGGTAGGTATGAGGTAGGGAGGATGATGGATGAAGGGAAGGGAAAGGGAGGGTGTTTCGAGGTATCTGAGACAAACAGAGCAGGATGAGTTGACCAGGTATAAGTAGGCTTGGCAGGTAATCAGAGGTGTGGTCGAGGTGTGGCCCTGCTCCTGAACCTAAGTTAACAAATTAACTTAATTAATGGATATAAAAAAACATATCACCATGTTTCCATTAAAGCATTTTAATTATAAAAAAAAAAAAGTGACCAAATTTGCTGTGGCTGCCAAGCATTTAATGATACATACACACAAAAAAATATTATAGTGTCAGTTTAGCAATAGTGCTAATCTACTTTAAGAGTGTGTGTGTGGGGGGAGGGTGACGGGTAACAAGCATGCTCTGAGCAGAAAATAAGTGAGGAGGGGAAAGAGCAAGTGCTTTAGAGAGGGCGAGAGGGAGTGTGAGAGCATATGTGCAGGAGGGTGGGAGGGCTGGAGAGGGAGCGAGGGAGAGAGAGAGGGAGAGGACAAGCGGATGGGTGCTGTGAAATCCGTTAACAGGGGAGCTCTGTGCATTTGTTAGACGTCTTGGCTGCTTGCCCAACTTGGCTCATTGTAATCGAGGCATGATCGTCGACTCCAGGCAGCCCTCTCTGCCGCCTCGGCTGCCTCGCGCCTGGACCCACCCCAGCTCTCACCGCTGACATGGAAAGACCCGTGAGTGCCTTCTCCTTTCCCTTCTCATCCCACATTCTCTCCTGCTCTCTCTGGTGTTAGGTCCCCCCCTCTCCCTCCTCTGCTCTGTCGCAGATTTAGCTGAGGCTACATGCAGCGTTTCAGTTGTGTCTCCGGCTCTTTCTCTCCCCTGTTGTAGCTCCTGTAGGTGGCAGGAACGCTGGGTAGGGAGGAAGCCTTGGCAGCTTTCTCTCTGCAGGGCCCCCCCTCCTCCTCCCTCTCGCCTGCCAGTCCAGGCATGGGTGCCGTCCGCTGGCAGACCCACAACGTCTCTGTCTGTTTTGTGGTTTTGTGTGTGTATATGTGTCGCCTTGCTGCTGCACAACCACAGAACTGACCCAGAGGGATACCGTCACCACACAGAGTCTCCCCACTTTGGTTCAAGGAGGCCGGTGTTTACTTCAGTCTCCGCCATTGGCTTCGCTGAGATTCAGATTCGGCAGCGTGTCTCTCCCTTGCGCCTATTCTTGGTGGTATGTCCTCATGGTCTGTTGTGTTTGGATACCCTGACAACTAAAAGCTGTGAGGTAACCGCTTTCCAGCCTGCTGCTTCTCTGAGTGAGTCCCAACTTTTCTCATACTCACTGTCTCTTTGCAGGTTCAACACAGCTGCATTCAGGATGTGCAGCTTTTGTCATTTTACTTAAAGTCTGTGCTGACTACCTTACATTCAGTCAACAACACTTCAGTGGCAGATATTCTTTGCAGGCGTAACAGTGGCGGCAATGGAAAAAAAACACACTAAAGAATTTCTTGCAGTCCCAGTGTAAGGGTTTTTGTGCGCTTGCTAGCCGTGAGTCATCATTCTGTGCTAGCAATATCACACAGAAACAGCTTCGACTCCTTCGTCGTCACTGGGGCAACAGTGGAGAATCACTGACTCACATTGGCACATCTACTTCCTGTCTCTGTCAAGACAGTCTGACCCCTCCAAGTAAACGACACAGAGTGCGGAGAATGGGATACTTCAAAAATGAATGATGTGTTTTCACAGTTTCAACAAGCAGTAATGGCAACTTTTCTACTGTCACTTCTCCTCAGCTGCGAATGACAACAGTCAGTGATGCCAGCATTGATTCGGAAACACTTGTTTTAGCTGATTGAGTTGAAAGGTTTTTTGTTTTCTTTTTACAGTGATTGTCATTCGTTGAGTATTCTCAGAGCTCTGTTGTTTGTGTGCTGAATGAAAACTTTGAGAGCATATGAATGCGCATATAGAAATTCATTTCCCAGGAGGGAAATGGAGGGATGAAACAGATACAAACATAACTCTGATCCCATCTTATCAAAGTTTTGGCATTTATTTGTCGCTGTCTGCCAAATATCCCAGAACATTATTACTTTTAAAACACACATTTTGATGTCCTCTTCAGCGTAAACTACAAGCTAAGAGCTTTGCTTGGTAACAGTGTTAGTATCATCTCGTTGCCTGGGGCATGTCTCTTTGAAACAATATGTTGCATTTTGTATGACACAGGAGCTGCCTTGTGACTGGTCCTCGTGCTGGCATTTCATGTAAACCAATTTAAAGAAATAGTTCAGTATTTTGGGAAGCGTGCTTATTCACTTTCTTGGCAACACTTAGATGAAAAGATAGATAGCACTCTCACGTCAGTTAGCTTAGATTAGCACTAGACTGAAAACAAGGAGAAACACCTGTCCTTGCTCTATACAGAGGCAACAAAATCCATCTACTAGCACATTTAAAGCTCACTAATTAAAGGGAAACTTTGGTATTTTTTAACCTGAACCATTTTCCCCATGTTTTAGTGTCTAAGTGACTAATGAAGGTAACGGTTTTTGAAATTGGTCCAGCATCGAGAGAGACCGCTGCAGCAGCAGCCGTGAAACAGGCTGCATTGTAATCCCTTTGTGCAATCGTGCACTGTCAATTTCCGTCCACTAAAAGTTTTTGTCTGCCACTGACAGGCTTAGATTGTTATTATTAAGTGTCTGAAAACATTACGAAAAGGACCCTACAGAGAAATAACATGTTTTTCTTTACCTTTTGCTGATCTGCTCTCTTTGTCGGTGCGTGTGACCAGGTTTCGCTCAAGGTCTCTTTGAAGGAGAAATCTTGTTCTAATATCTAAATCTAAAGTGTTCCACGTTGTCGAAATCAGCTAAATGTTGAGCCATGACACTGAAAATCTTTAGATAACACAAAGCTATATTTTCTGTACACAACAACAACAACGTTTCCAGTGTTGACTGTTTCTTGCAATAGGTCACCTCCAACGAGATTTCAGCCTTCTCCTTGAGCAAGACTTGGTCACAATTACAAACAGACTAGCATAAGGTAAAGAAAGACGTTTCATTTCTTCTTTAGGGATCCTCCATTATGTTGTCAGAAACATATAATAACAGTCTGAGCCTGTCAGTGGCACAAAGAAGTGCTTTCAGTGGACTTAAATTAAAGGTGCACAGTTTTCTGTAGAGATTACATTGCAGCCTGTTTCGCTGCTGTGGCTGCAGCGGTCTCTCTCAATATTTGACCAGTTTCAAAAATGGTCTCCATTAGTATCTTAGACACAAAAACATGGGAAAGTTTCCCTTTAACTTTTTTGTTTAATCCATACAAAAAGACTAATTGTAATAGATTGTTTGCTGCTGCTTGTCAACATCACAGCAACGACAACCTTAGGAACTTATGTGCGCATGCTATTGTAAGCTAACCGGCTGCTAGCTGGAGCTACATGTTTACCTACAGACATAATAATCCTCTCATTAAACTCTTGGCAAGAAAGTGAATGAGTGTATACCCAAAATGCCGTGCTATAACTATAAAACAATACAGCAGTTTCTTCTTTAACGGCATCTCTGACCTGACCTGAACCTCTATTGATCCTGGTCTTTAAAGAAAGCGGCACACTCTCTTTAACCTCATGCTGCAGCAGAGTCCCTCTCTTGCCAGTCTTCCAAGACACGTGCTCTTTAGTTTGCTCTACAGCCAGGTGAAGGAACCATTCATACATCCAGACTACACAGACCAGATTGGAGAGGGAACATTAAGCTGCTGCAGGCTAAAGGAAATTAGATCTCCCCCATTATCATTCTGCAACATTATCCTAATCTTGCCTCTTCTGAATATTTGTGCACATCTCTCCAACTGTGCAGCTCTCTTGCGCATGTTTGCGCATGTTTGTACATCAAGTTAAAGAGAGATTTTCATGAAAGGAAGTGTTAACATGCACCTACTTGCTGCTCCGTAGGAGCACATGGAGATTTTCGGTACAGGGCCCCCTGTCGTGTGAGGAGGTGTGCCCCTGCTGACCGCACTGGGATGCTTAGGATGCTCCACATATGCGTTCTCCCTGTGTAACCGAGCTTCGTAATGAATGCTCCATCTGTGGTGGGTGTGAGGGTGTGTTAGTGTTGTGTGTTAACGCAGTGCACACAGTGGTGTGTTAGAAACCTTCAAGTACCAAAAGCTGGCATGAGAAGTCTGGTCACGTTTGTAATCATTGTTTTATTTTACACTAATGATTGTAGGCAAAGTTCTTGTACTGCTGCTTTAAACAACATTTATCGTTTGAATAACTTGTTTTATTAGTTTGAAAAGAAAGTTTTGTTGTTGTGTCCCCCAGACCCCCACTGACATGATGCCCAGGAGGGATCATGAGAGGGACCTGGAGCTGGACAAGAAGATCGAGGCTCTCCGCAGAAAGAATGAAGCGCTCATGAAGAGGCACAAGGTAAGGACAAGTGTTCACAGGCAGTGAAGCTTCTGTGGAGTCTGAAATTTCAGTGGTCGTCATTGCAGGTGTAGAACTGCAAGTCTGGGCCATTTGTCTTTTCTGTCAAAGGTTGCAGCTCTTTCAGGCTTCCTGATTGGTCTGTTGTTTTCATTGAGTTGCATTCAGGAGGTGGAAGAGGACAGAAAAAGGGCAGAGGAAGAAGGAATGGCGCTGCAGAGCCGAAAGGGCAAAGCTGAGGATCTTTCCATCACAATCAGCAAGTCCACCAGTGTGAGTTACTCAGTATTTTGACAAACTTAAAAACTATAATGATACTTGACTAATACCTCAGAGCACTGCTTTTGTTGCGGAGTGCACGCAGTTACAATTCTTTCTGAGGAAAAGAGGCAACAAACTCAATGACTATAACATGTTCACGTCTTCGGTTTGGAGCAGGACAGTCGCCTGGTGGTGACGAAGCCATTCAGCGGTGGCTCAACAGCTGGGAAAGGACAGCAGGAGGCCGGGCCTGACAAGGGGGGAGACGGCCTTTCGCAGGGTGCTGGTCGAGGCCACAGAAAGCAGCTAATGGTCACTATGGCTGGCAAAAAGGTAAATACGCTATAGTGCCAAATTTCACTTTAAGCGAAAATGACAGACATTCAACCCACAGGTTTTACTTAGAAAAGATGTATGATAACTTGCAAAGAAAGTAAGAGCACTGAAGAATGATGCATATGTAATGCTGACTTCATTCCATGAGCTCATGCATATGCAAAAGTGTGCCCTCATAGCTAGGATTGGTCCGACAACAGAAGAAAATTGAGAATACTGAATTGAATATATTATGATTATTATGTAACATGAACTATTTATAAGACCTACATATCTCAGAGCCTTGTTGAAGCCTTGATGGCACGATACGAAAAGCTTACAGTTAAATTTTTGCCAGAGTCAGAGCTTTTACTGCGACTCAGGAGATGCTTCATTTCACTTTTCCCTAAAGTTTACTGAATATTTCATGATCTTAGGTTTGTAGTGTTTAATTTCAATCCAATAAAGTGCAGTCTACGCTCCTTGACTTAGGCCGATACTCGAAGCATGTTAGAATCTGAGTACCATTACTTTGGCAGTACCAAACCAAACCATTTATGTATTCATGGAATTCTGAATTAATGTATAGATATATTAATGTAAAAAGTAGGCTGAATATCCCTGTTTCCTTCTCAACCTTGCTGTGAGGATAGTCCACAAGACTTGAAGGAGCTATATGTAAGAAATCTAAAGCAAATAGTCGTAAAATCATCCTAATATGTCACAGAGACTAAGGAATAATGTTCATATAACATACTGATCTCACCGACAACAATAGTACAGCCAGAATATTCGCATTTTAAAACATTTTTACAGTCAGCAAATCACGTTTATGTTTTGAATTTGTGTTTTGGCCTGTTGCGCCACCCACCGCCGTCTACCAGTCACGCAGTCAGTAGAGTCTCAGCATCAGTTACAGTTACGACTGAGCTACAGCAGCACGGCAAGCAGCATTAGCAGTGTCCCGGTACATAGCATTAGCAGCCAGCTCCTCCTCAGCTGTATCCCGGCAGCAGCGCTAGCAGTGTCCCGGTACATAGCATTAGCAGCCGGCTCCTCCTCAGCTGTATCCCGGCAGAAGCGTTAGCAGCAGAGAAGCCGGACTTGCTCAAACGGTCCGCTGGAAAACCGAAGATCAAGGATGCGGCGACGCGGCCCTGCCATGGCAGCCACACGTGGGCAAACAAATCAGTCTCCAGCGTGCCGCTGTCCAGCAACCTTGAATCTGTAGGGGAGGGGGGGCGGACACGACTCGCGGCAGTATTTTGAATTTGAGTGCAGTAACCGTTTTGGCCACATTCTTACATACAGCGCCTTTAAGAGTCTACACCCAGGCTAGCAGCTCTTTTATCCACAACAATGCTTTGAGCTAAATGCTAACATGGTCACAATAACGATGCTAACATAGTGCTATTTGGCAAGAAATGTTTACCATGTTCAGCAACTTGGTTTACTGTGCTAGCATCAAGCATCTTCTGGAGGTGAAAAATGAAGCCAGTGTGGAAGTGATAGAAGGTGCAGTTCTTCAAATGGCCACTGGAGGCTGGCTCCAAAAGCGAGTCAATACCCATAAACACCCATGTTAAAATGCCTCACTTTACAGCAGAAAAAAACATGTTTACAGCCTGATCTAAAGTTAATTTCCCCATTCATGACAATTGTACGGGGGTGATTTTTTTTTACAACTCATCTATTTAAATTTGTCCATATATGGCCAACTTGGCTCCCTTCTGCCTCTAAAAATTCAAGATGGTGACAGCCCTAGAGACAGACTTGAGGCTTCAAAATGGGAGTCCACAAAACAGCAAGTGGCATTGTGGTGGCTATGTTCATTTTACTGTCTATGGTTTGCATGCTAACCTTTACTAAATAGCAGTAAACAAGGAGTACAGCTGAGACAGATGGAAATATCATTAGTTTTGCAGGTATTTGGTTGTAGATATCTGTACCACAATTCATAGCAATTCATCCTATAGTTGAGATATTTTGGTAGATACTTTGGTAGACTGCACACTGACATAGCTATCCAAAGAGACACGCTGATAGCTTGGCTAAAAATGTGCAGCTTTGTGAGGTACAATGTGTCATCCTGTTGAATCAGAGAGTGGCTGGATTAAAGTTTAGGCTTGTGGTAGCACCGTTCAATCATCTGTCCATGAATATGTCTGTATAGCTATACAGGTACATTGAGGACAGCAGGTGTCAGGGCTAAATGTTCTTATTTGTGCACATAAATGAAAAAAGGTGTCTTACAAACAAGTACCCCCAACCCACAAATTAATAAGTCTTGTGCACTATTTTGACATCATAGGAGTGGCACTCTTATATTACAGCTCACTGCTACAGTTATGATCCCCTAATATGAGTAACTGTCTCTCCAGGGTAAGAGGGTGGTGAGTGAGAGGCCAGAGAAGAGGCCAGGCCCTGCGGACATCAAGAGCCCTACAGATGACGGACAGGCGAGGCGTGTGGAGTCAGCTGGGAGGGGAAAGCAGCCACCTCACATGACTAGGAGAGACACGGCAGCACAGGTCTGAATCAGACACACTGAACATTTCAGTGATCATACGCTTCAGCACTGAAAATGCACCCTGTAGTCTGTTCCCACTCTCTCGTACGCCTTTGTTCACTCTGTGGTGCTGCACCGACGTGTTTTACATAGATGTCAGACATGTCGGCTGGCCACACCCCTCCAGTGATGGAGCACAATGGTTTGTGAGCAGGAGGTGGACTGGGGCTGTGTTTGACTGGTGTGGAATTAACAGAGGGGGGCTGCTAATAGAGCTGTTGGCTGAGTCGATGTGCTGTAGAGCCACGCCTTCGAAAGGCCTGGATGACTGCTTCTACGTTTTTAGCATAATCCCTTTCAGGTCTGATGGATATTCTTCTTTTCTCCTTCTGTAGAACTTTTGTTGTATTTTTAGCAAAAGAAAAATCACTCAGCCTCTGGGTGTAGATGTCTTTGGGCGTGTGGAACAGTCTGTAAAGTTCATACAGTCCCTCTAGGGCCATGAAAGATAGATAGATGCTCTATTAGCTCCTGTCCTAACAAAGAGCCTTGCTATCGGTAGTATGGAGTTGGAGATGGCATGTTTAACATCAGTACCTTCACTACACTGTATACTGTTGCTGTAAGATCCAATGTTTAATGCAGACAGGCAGAGACACATGTGCACATGCAGCACCCCCGGCTAGGCTGTAAAATGCCACACTGTCATTGAACTTAGACCCCCTGGGTATGCAGAAACTCTGGAACAGCTGCTCTGCCTCAGTCTGACACACACACATACACACTCACAGGCTGCTCAATCAATGAGTCGAAGCACAGCACAGACAGCTGATCCTCACCACTGTAAACACAGACACAGTCTGGTTGCAGGAGGGGTGTCCGGACACAAAGCTCGCGGAGGCTCTTGCTAAATATGTATATATACATCTGCCTCTGATTGGCTGAGACACCGAGGGCTGCTCACTGGCCCGTCTGGGTTAATGTGCACTAAATCTTTGGGCTGAACACGCTGTTCTCTTCGCCTTTATTTCTGGCCCGCTTGGTCTGTCCCCCTTTATTTATCATGTGGACTGAATCAGCATTTGAACAGTAGCCAACACTCCAGTGCACCAGTCGTCTGTGAATCCGAGAGACCCAGGGTTTCCATGTGGTCGCTGTTTACATAACCAGTATCGTTTAACGAGTTTTATGAGAGCTGTGGGGGGAAAACACTGCGAAAGGGTGTTGATGGGAGGAGAAAATGTCATGGATCTATCTGGCAAGTGTTAGAAAAATATTTGTATGGATGAAATCCGTGATAAGCTGCAGGTTTATGTGGTTTTGCCCTGCCCTGAAATATTTTTCGAGTGAGTGTGTGTGTGTCTGGTTACACTGTCACATTGCGGGGACTCATCTTCCATTTAATGACAAATGCAAGTCCCTGAAACTTAAATCATTAAAGTTTAGGGTTAAGTTTAGGGTCAGAGTAAATCTCCAGGAAATCAATGTAAGTCAATGTAATGTCATCTGAGGTGATGGAAACACAACTGTGTATGTGTTTCTGTTTACACAAGCCTTTTTGACACCGCTGTAGGGCCACTGCAAAGTCCCTTCTTCATGCAGCCTTTGCATTTTTACATAGAAAAAATGGTGGCATCAGTGTGATTGTAGACAGCATACTGGTATTGCAGAATCAAAAGAGGCGTGACAGGTGTGACATGTGACACAACAGCATCGGTCTCTAGTGTGACATATAAAACATACGTCTGCAGCACTTTCTGAACAATAACAATGGCATAACATCCATCCATCTATTTTTATCTGTTTATCCGGGGCCGGGTCACAGGGGCAGCAGGCCAAGCAAAGCACCCTAGACTACCCTCTCCCCAACCATGCTTTCCAGCTCTTCCTGGGGGACCTCAAGGCGTTCCCAGGCCAAATAAGATATGTAATCCCACTAGTGTGTCCTGGGTCTACCCCAGGCCTCTGTGGGACGTCTAACGGGAAGGACCCAGGAGGCATCCTGATCAGATGCCCGAACCACCTCAAATGACCCCTTTCAAAACGAAGGAGCAGTGACTCTACTCCACACTCCCTCAGGATATCCGAGCTCCTCACCCTAAGGCTGAGTCCAGCCACCCCATGGAGGAAACTCATTTTGGCCGCTTGTATCTGTGATCTCATTCTTTCGGTCACTACCCAGAGCTCATGACCATAGGTGAGGGCTGGGACATAGATGGACCAGTAAATCGGAAGCTTTGCCGACTCGGCTCCCTCTTCACCACGACGGTCTGGTGCAGCGCCCGCATCACTGTAGAAGCCGCACCAAACCGCTGATCCATCTCACGCTTCATTCTACCCTCACTCGTGAGCAAGACCCCGAGATATGTGAACTCCCTTGCTTGAGGCAGTAACTCTCTCCCAACTCGGAGGGGGCAAACCACCATCTTCCAGCAGAGAACCATGGCCTCAGATTTGGAGGTGCTGACTCTCATCACAGCCGCTTCACGTACGGTTGCATGTTCGTGGTCATGGTGTGATGAAGCCAAAAGAACCACATCATCTGCAAAAAACGGATGATGCTCTGCAGATGGCATAATACGACAATAACAATCATTTACCTTTCCTGTTATATGGCAGCTGATCTTGTCCTTTGCTTGGAGAGTAAGGAGCTCCTGGACCTTATTGTTTTCCCAAGTTGCAGACATTTTCAGCTGCTGTTCTTCCTTGAGTTAGCTGCTAGTTGCTATCAGCTACTTTTTAAATTTCCCACGTTGTCAAAACATCACACTCGTGCTGCCCACAATCCCATCCTGCCGTCTGTCCAGCCTATACAGACATTGTTTCGGCACTGTTACTACCTCCTTTCTTGGCTCAAAGGCGAGACAACTCTGTCAACCCCCATTCCGCAGTCATACTTTTTATACAGAACGGCAAGGCAGCATAACGGCGTAATATTACTGCCTTGAACAGGTGTATGAATGGGTCACATTTGTGGAGACTTGCCTTCCTGTTGGGGACAAAAGTTCAGTCCCACAACATACAGTACAGGCCAAAAGTTTGGACACACCTTCTCATTCAATGCGTTTTCTTTATTTTCATGACTATTTACATTGTAGATTCTCACTGAAGGCATCAAAACTATGAATGAACACATGTGGAGTTATGTACTTAACAAAAAAAGGTGAAATAACTGAAAACATGTTTTATATTCTAGTTTCTTCAAAATAGCCACCCTTTGCTCTGATTACTGCTTTGCACACTCTTGGCATTCTCTCCATGAGCTTCAAGAGGTAGTCACCTGAAATGGTTTTCCAACAGTCTTGAAGGAGTTCCCAGAGGTGTTTAGCACTTGTTGGCCCCTTTGCCTTCACTCTGCGGTCCAGCTCACCCCAAACCATCTCGATTGGGTTCAGGTCCGGTGACTGTGGAGGCCAGGTCATCTGCCGCAGCACTCCATCACTCTCCTTCTTGGTCAAATAGCCCTTACACAGCCTGGAGGTGTGTTTGGGGTCATTGTCCTGTTGAAAAATAAATGATCGTCCAACTAAACGCAAACCGGATGGGATGGCATGTCGCTGCAGGATGCTGTGGTAGCCATGCTGGTTCAGTGTGCCTTCAATTTTGAATAAATCCCCAACAGTGTCACCAGCAAAACACCCCCACTCCATCACACCTCCTCCTCCATGCTTCACAGTGGGAACCAGGCATGTGGAATCCATCCGTTCACCTTTTCTGCGTCTCACAAAGACACGGCGGTTGGAACCAAAGATCTCAAATTTGGACTCATCAGACCAAAGCACAGATTTCCACTGGTCTAATGTCCATTCCTTGTGTTTCTTGGCCCAAACAAATCTCTTCTGCTTGTTGCCTCTCCTTAGCAGTGGTTTCCTAGCAGCTATTTGACCATGAAGGCCTGATTTGCGCAGTCTCCTCTTAACAGTTGTTCTAGAGATGGGTCTGCTGCTAGAACTCTGCGTGGCATTCATCTGGTCTCTGATCTGAGCTGCTGTTAACTTGTGATTTCTGAGGCTGGTGACTCGGATGAACTTATCCTCAGAAGCAGAAGTGACTCTTGGTCTTCCTTTCCTGGGTCGGTCCTCATGTGTGCCAGTTTCGTTGTAGCGCTTGATGGTTTTTGCGACTCCACTTGGGGACACATTTAAAGTTTTTGCAATTTTCCGGACTGACTGACCTTCATTTCTTAAAGTAATGATGGCCACTCGTTTTTCTTTAGTTAGCTGATTGGTTCTTGCCATAATATGAATTTTAACAGTTGTCCAATAGGGCTGTCGGCTGTGTATTAACCTGACTTCTGCACAACACAACTGATGGTCCCAACCCCACTGATAAAGCAAGAAATTCCACTAATTAACCCTGATAAGGCACACCTGTGAAGTGGAAACCATTTCAGGTGACTACCTCTTGAAGCTCATGGAGAGAATGCCAAGAGTGTGCAAAGCAGTAATCAGAGCAAAGGGTGGCTATTTTGAAGAAACTAGAATATAAAACATGTTTTCAGTTATTTTCACCTTTTTTTGTTAAGTACATAACTCCACATGTGTTCATTCATAGTTTTGATGCCTTCAATGAGAATCTACAATGTAAATAGTCATGAAAATAAAGAAAACACATTGAATGAGAAGGTGTGTCCAAACTTTTGGCCTGTACTGTAAATCATTAAAATTTTAGGGTTAGGGTACGTCTCCTGTCTGTGTTTCTGTTCACACTGTCACAGTGTGGGGACTCGCCTTCGTTGTGGGGACAAACTGCAAGTCCCCCGTTATATAAATCATTAATTTTAGGGTTTAGACTAGGGTTAAGGTTCGGGTAAGTCTACAGTAAATGAATGTAGGTCAGTGTAATGTCCTCTGAACTGACTGAAAATCATGATTCTGTGTGTGTGTGTGTGTGTGTGTGTGTGTGTGTGTGTGTGTATGTGTGTGTGTGTGAGAGACAGCCTGGAAATAAATAATGACTCTGTGAGAGGGGTGTGGTTGTTTGGCAGCGTCCCAAACAGATATTGTAATGCCTGGAAGTAACCCATGACTAGACTGTCAGTTCACACTCATGAGCGAAAGAGACAGGAGAAAGGAAATGTAGAGGGAGGGGAAAAAGTGGCGGGGGGAGAGAAGGGAAGAGACTGCTGGCAGCCCACCGTCTGTTTCCAGCCTCCATTTCCCCTCACTGGAACCTTAAGTGGTCTGCTCTCCTCCGGCACGATTGTTTCCCCATTCCCACCATCCTGAAAGGACCGATTTGATCTAATTAACATTCGACTGCCTTCTCACTCTGAAAAGGCTCATTATGCTGCCAAAGACAGTGGCCTGGCGAGGAGCCAGGAAAGGGTCAGAGAGGGAGAGGAAGAAGGAGTGAGAGGCGAAAGAAGAAAAGAAACAAGGTAGTCAGGAGCCCTTTGTGTTTGTGTGTAAGCCAGGCTGCATTTGGGTGTGGGTAGGAGAGCATGCGTGTGGGCGTCATTGTCTGTAGGTGCAACAGACCACTCTGTCCAGCATTTATTGCCATCCCCCCCCTTGGCTGTTCATACAAGCGTTGCTGTTAATGGCAGCATGACTCATCCACTGTGCTCACTGGAGCACATCATTGCAGTCAGAAATACACTTCAAGCAAAATTCATACAATTCTCCACCTGCAGTGAGATGAGTTTCTTTTTCCAAATCACTGAAATGCAACCACCTGCAAACTGCACTCTGCTCTGATGACCTCACCGCAGACTGGACATTTAAAACGCAGCCTCAAGTGCCAAATTACACCATGGCACCGTTAGTCCACTTGGGGGCAGTGTAGGTCTCATAATCCTTCTCAGTGGATGAGTCCATGCTCTCGCTTGATTTGTTTTCACTGTTCATGGCGGCAGTAATGTGACTCTTTACAACCATGTGTAATTGGCTGGGAGCAACTTGCTGTGTCACCCTTATTGTCGTTATGTTCATCTCCCTTTTTTTTTGTCTTGTCTCTCCTCTGTGACAGGATGAGGTTAAACAAGGGCAGAGGCACACCGAGGAGCAGCACAGGCTTTCAGAGCAATGCCAGGTACCACAATGACATGACGTAGCAACATGCATATTGTCCCTATCGCTAATCTAATGAGCACAATTCACCGAGATGGAAACAAATGTGGAATACAAGTTTTCCACATGACAGCGCCAGTATGCTAGATCACGAAAACACAGAGGAATGCAAATATGCTCTCTACCCTCCTCATCACAAGCGCTCACATGCAGACAGACACAACACGTTGCCATGCACGCCCCCCCTTTTCTATCGCTCGTCCCCATCTGCCTCCTGCTGGCTTGCGTGTTAACGTCGCTGGAGTAGCTCAGAGCTCAGCTGTCTCGCAGATTGGGCGTGCGACAAACAGGCTAACTAGGGAGGCAGGGAGGACAGGCTTCAAAGTCTCGCTGAACACACAGCATGACAAGTGATGCTGTTCATGCCTCTCTGCGTCTCTGTACCTTGTCTGCTTTGCAGCCTGAGCTGAGTGACTGCTTAAGGAAATATCATGCTGGGTCCTTTTTTTTTTTTTTTGGTGTTTGTAAGGAGTAAAGGTCAGGCAGCCCTTGGCTTTGTTAGCTGCTATGTTTAACAAATGCACCAGAAACCTCCTCTGGCATTTTCAGAATGATTATTCTCATTTACAGATCTATCTAAATATGCATACACACGTCTGAGTTCTGTTTTGGGCTCAGCACCAGCCAGACTCGCTGTGCAACGTCCACCTTACCTGTCTTGGCCCCTGACAACCTCCCTGTGAGGCCACACGGAGGCGAGAAATCAAGAAATTGAAAAGTGCTAATTAGCACTGTGGCCGGGGTGGCAGCAGGAGACGGCCTGTTGGAACATGCGACAAGCGCCCTCCCCTGTGGCCCCTTGACGTCCTCCAGGGGCCAGAGGAGAGAGAGAGGGGAGAGAGGATGGAAAACAGAGGGATGAGCACAGATGCCATGTCCTCCAATAACTGTTCACTGGAAGGCAACATGTTTACTTGGCTATGATTGGTCCACACCTGAGGGGAAAACATCACACATCATGGTTTCTTACAGGCACTGCTGTTTCTCTCTCTGTCATAATATGCAGAGCAGCATGAAGTTTGTTTTGCCATTTTCCTCACACTATTTTATTTTTTCTCTAGACAGCATCTCCCTCCTGCGTATAAAAAAAAAATCACCCATGTGTACTTTCTCTCAGAGATTGCTGCTCTTTTACGTGATTTCCCTCAGAGCAGCAGCAGCAGCAGCAGTGTTTGTAGTCCTGCTTCACTCCAGGGCTTTGTAACAAGAGCACACAGCCTCTGTCCCCTTTGATGTGTTAAAGAGCCTGCATCACATCTCCCTTTAGTATTAGCAAGCCATCCTTTCTGCTCTCATCGCGGTAATCAATAAACAGGTTAAGAGGGGAATGGAGGACGGGGATATAATTGCATTTACTGCAGACTGCACTTTCCCTGAAATATTGTCTCAGAGAATTTGATTGTGTTTGTCATCATGGAAGACAAACAAGAAGCTTTTTGTAATCACATGGGAGCTGACAGGAATGAACTGACACTCATATTCCATTACCAGTATTTACAGTGATGCAGCGAATGGCGTTTACAGTAATGTAGAATACATGAAAATACCACAAATATCCTTGTTTGTTCATTTTCTTTTTTACCCCCACTGATCTGTGTATGGTCCAGTTGCTGTTTATCTGTTTACAGACGAGAAACTGTTTATGTTTATGACCACCTATGCTTAATGTGAGGCTACTGTTGAGCTTCACCACTCTGATCAGCGTGTAGAGTGATGCTTCAGATGCATTATAACGTGCCACTCATGGTGCTGGTGTTTAGTCATGTTTCAGTGCTTCATTACTGTTGAGTGGACAGCAACATGATATAAAAGCATTAAGAGGGCTACTCATTTTAATAAATTAAAATACACTGAACTGTTTTGTGTGTGTGTTAAGGAGCCCGAGAGCCCGCAGGCCAGCACAGACCTCAACATCCCCACATCAAAAGAGGAGCAGGAGGAGTATGTGCGGTGGAAGAAGGAACGCGAGCAGATTGACAGGGAGAGAGTGGCACGCCACAAAAACGCCAAGGGCCAGTGGAGACGGGCATGGGACATGGACAAAACTGAGAACATGTAAGACTTCTTAGCACTCAGCCCTCCCAAGGCACTTCATCTGCTGATGGCTTAGATTTCGTACAGCTATTCCTGTGGGTGATATTTCATTGGCTCTCTCTATTTTTATATTGGAGAACTCAATTCTAAGAAATGTGGACTGAACATTTAAATCTTCTGCAGCAATGCAGAGCTTCACATTCACACTCATCTCCCCAATGGCCACTGAGCAGGAGGGGATAAAATGCTCATCAAAGGCCACTTAATGGTAGTTGTTGAAAGAGGAATCTATTCCTCTAACCACTAGCCTTTAGTCCTCTTAGTTATACTCTTTATTATAAAATAAGATGCGTCTTTACCTTGCATTATGCAATTTAATAATGTAGGCTTAGTGCTAATAATCTCCCCTCTCTGTTTTTTTATGTAATAGTTTAACATTTTGGGAAATACACCTCTTCATTTACTTTCTGAGACTTAATGACAAGATTGATGCCACTCTGGTGTCTGTATTCTTGTAGCCAGCTAACTTAGCTTAGCATAAATATTGGAAACTGCTCTGTCCTTAGGTTAAAGAAATGCCTACCAGCCCCTCTAAAACTCACAAATTACTTTGGTTTGTTTAATTATTTATTATTATTATTTCTTATTTATTATTTCTCAGCCACAACAGCAACACAACTGACATTTTTACTGCATTTTTTTTTAACAAATTGGTCTAGTGTGAAGGATTTATCGGCATCTAGCAGTGGGGTTGCAGAACTGAAACCCCTATGTGCCAAGTGTATAGGAGAAATATGGTGGCTGATACAAAAATGTGAAAACACAAATGGCCCTATCTTATGGGGTGCCGTTTGTAAAGTGGCTCACGCTGAAAATAACATCAACATTTTGCCACATTTAGCTTCAAACGATGTTTAAAAAAGTGTGAATTTTTTAACGTCACCTTTTACCACATTTACAGCAATATTTGTTAACTTAGAAATATATTAAATAGTTAAATCTAAATATTAAATGTGGCACCTAAATGTTAAATGTTAAATCTAAATATTAAATCTAAATATAAATGTTAAATCTAAATGCTAAATCTAAATATAAATGTTAAATCTAAATGCTAAATATAAATATAAATGTTAAATCTAAATGCTAAATATAAATCTAAATGTTAAATGTTAAATATTTAGCTAATATGCAAATTCACACTGCCGGTCACCGGAAGTACCAAAATAAAAGCTCGAAATGGTCAGACTGTGTTTATAGAATCAAATAACGAATTAAAACCAACTTATCGGGGGAAATGGACACTTGAACATACATTAACGTGATAATAACTACCTAAAATAACAAGAAACATGTTTGGAGAAATTTTATTTGATGTGTACTTTGAGTTGTTAGAGTCCCTTCGGAGGGAATCATCTTGTTGTTTACAAATACTTCTGGGTAGAAAATCAGCGGAGTTTAGCTACATATATATATGCATATCTCACATTTTTCACGTCACTATATCACCGTTAAGACTAATCTGGTGTTTGTAAAGTCTATAAACACAATGATTGAACAAACATTACTATCATGTTCTGAAATTAATAACATGGTTATCGTAGATTAGCTGGGCTAACCGTTAGCTGTTAGCCCCATTAGCGGTGTCTGTAATGACTCTAAACGGTCCGTGAAAAAAAATTTTTTTTTCCAGCGGATGTCTTAGTTACAACATGATTGAGCTAATTGGAGTAGTTTCATGTCGTATCCGACAACGGGAGGCTTTTAACAGATGACGTCCTGATGTTAGCTTTGCTGCTGCTGCAGCCACTGATGCTTTCTAGACATCATGATTTCCCAAAACTGAAAAAATACCACACATCGCAACACAAAACTGCTTTGCTAGCTCAATCATGTTGTAACTAAGACATCCGCTGGAAAAAATATTTTTTTCACGGACCGTTTAAGAGTTAATGAGTCATTACAGACACTGCTAACGGTGCTAAGAGCTAACGGTTGTTAGCTTAGCTTAGGTTGATAGTCCCTCCGAAGGGACACTAACAACTCAAAGTACACGTCAAATAAAATTTCTCCAAACATGTTTCTTGTTATTTTAGGTAGTTATTATCACGCTAATGTATGTTCAAGTGTTCATTTCCCCCGATAAGTTGGTTTTAATTCGTTATTTGATTCTATAAACACAGTCTGACCATCTCGAGCTTTTTTTTGGTACTTCCAGTGACCGGCAGTGTGAATTTGCATATTAGCTAAATATTTAGTTTCACCCAGAACATTTAGATTTAACATTTAACATTTAGATTTATATTTAGCATTTAGATTTAACATTTAAATTTAGATTTAATATTTAGATTTAACATTTATATTTATATTTATATTTAGCATTTAGATTTAACATTTAGATTTAGATTTAATATTTAGATTTAACATTTAACATTTAGGTGCCACATTTAATATTTAGATTTAACTATTTAATATATTTCTAAGTTAACAAATATTGCTGTAAATGTGGTAAAAGGTGATGTTAAAAAATTCACAATACTTTTTTAAACATTGTTTGAAGCTAAATGTGGCAAAATGTTGATGTTATTTTCAGCGTGAGACACTTTACAAATGACACCCCATACTATCTAGAGCTAGTGCTTGGTTTGTCTGTTCTGGGCTACTGTAGAAATAACATGGTGGGGGAGGACCTGCTCTGTATGTAGACATAAACGGCTCATGTGATAAAAACACAAGTCTTTTTGTTGTCAGGTGATTATAAACGAATGAAAACTTAACATTATTGTTACATACTATTTCTGCCAATAGATTCCTGTAAGTCCCGCACACTGGACCTTTAACAAGGGAAATAACTGAAAAGGTGCTGGTAGACCAATGTTTTTATATTATTTGGTTGTCCATCTGTCCATAATCGTGATATCTCAAGAACGCCTGGAGGGATTATCTTCAAATTTGGCACAAACGTCCACTTGGATTAGACGATGAACTGATTAGATTTTGTTGGTTGAAGGTAACTGTGGCCTCACAAAACATGTCACTGGGCATAACTCAATATCCATCTGCTAATTATGACAAAATTCATTCAAATATCTAATAAGGTGAAGTGATATGATGTAACCATAGTACACACAGTGCCCTCATTTTATTTTGGTCTGCTGACTTATCAGCTTCACATTCGCCCCCTTTCTAATTAGCAGTTCTTTTAATAATCAGAAGTTTGCCTCTGTCCTCTTTTTACTTCTGAACTGAATGAAAAGCTTCATTTACTTTGAGTGCAGATATGGATAACCTTGAAGAACATCCTGTTGGAAGAATCCATTAGACGAGGTGCTTGGACTGCGTGTCCTCCCACAGGATCACAAGACTCAATCTCATGAAGCCACAGGATGTTGCTAAATTATTGGGTCACCAAATAATTACGTTTGAGGCGAATTATATCATTGTATGCACAGTTATGTAACGGTATTTTAGCATAACTTCTTGTGTATTCTCACACTGCAGAGACTCAGTTTGATCGCAGCTTTGTGAAAACACACAACAGCACCCCAGACTGACTGGAGGAAAGAAAGTACGGCCCATTCATTTTAAGTGTTTGTTAGATTTCAAACAATCCAGGCTGTGGTACAAAGAGTTGCAGAGTAAATGAATGTGCTGTTTAAGGAAGCATCAAAATGTAAAGAGACAAGGGAGGAGCGGATATTTTTAGCTTGGAATAAGGGATGGAATACCTTGCCTTATTTGGCAAGGCTTAAACAAGGCTCTTGAGTAAGAATAGGAAGAGGAAATGTGTTTTTGATTCAACAAAGTAGATGGCTTCACTTGATGTTAAAAGCAAAGATGTGACTCACGGGGCAAAAAACCTCTCACTAATTCCACAAAGTCTCAAATTTACATAATAGATGTACAATAATGATACTTAAATGTCAGAAGGGCCTGTTGAAGTGGAGAGGAGATGAGCTGTTATGTCACCTGAACAAAAAGCGATGAACTATTTTAAGGCATGACAAGACAGCGCTTGCTCTGGTTTATATTTCTGTCTTAACTGAACCTCCATTTTTTAGGTTTTCAGACAAATCCATCCCCGACAGAGACTGGGGGGCTTCCAGCAGAGGTGAGACATTCAGACAGTCCTCACTGAGAACAGGAGGAAAACGACACAGCACAATATGATGATAAAATGATGTGTTTCATCCTCCTTTTTCTTTATTATTTAATCCATTTTTTTTTAATTCCAGGTGGACGAAATGCTAGAAGAGGGCAGTCCAGGGCAGGTGCAGTATCCTACACTGAAATAGCATTTATTAATTAGTTCAGTGCCTTAAAGAGATAGTTCACCACAAAATCAAAACCACATATTTTTCTTCTTAACTGTAAAAGTAGATGCATACTTCCTTCTGCACAGTGATACGGTTGGCGGGTGTAGTTCAGTAGAAAGAAAATATTTCTTAGATGAAACCACTCACAATAAGCTCTGTGGATTATCTTAAAGGCTCTCTAAATCTTCCTAAGCTTGAAAAGTTTTTGTCACATACAGCAAAGTAGCCTGTAGCCTGTAGCTCTAACTGCCTCTCTGGGCACCGCGTTCACGTGTGTGTGCTTGCTTTCGCTGGTCTTGCGCTGGCTGGTTGGTGCAGCCTGGACCCAAATGTTTATTGTTGTCATTTGCGGAGCCTGGGCTGCCTACAGAGACCGGACTTTTTCACAGCATAATCAGAGGACATGTAGCTAGCGGATTGTGAGGAGATGTTTGCTGTATGTGACAAAAACTTTTCAAGCTTAGGAGGACTTAGAGAGCCTTTAAGTAACTGGGTTATGATTCCCAGAGTCCTTTTTTGTGCTTTTAGCACCACAAGCCAAGTGCCATCTAGTTCCCTTATATGTCAGAGAATATCTTCAACATTTGATAAATAGCACCTCAGGTAAGAGGAAAATATGTATCTTCAATTTTGGGTTGAACTTTCCCTTTAAAATCATCACTCAGCTTACTGAAAAGCTCAGAACACTTCTGCGAATTTATGTAATTTTCTTAAGTGTCAGTGAAACAGAATCTAGTTGCTATAATTTGACTTTTTTTTCTGAAACAGGATATTGGTGTGGGATTTAATTCATGTGGGGTTCATTAAACTGGGTAAACTGGTGGGATATCAGTTAGGAAGAGCAAGGCAGATAATGTTGGGGGTGGGACTGTTTGAAAATCTGTTTTTTCCCTGATATTTAAAGAAATTTAAGCCCACACAGCAAGGAAACAAATTAATTTGTTGTTGTCTAGCAGAAATGAGAAATGGCTTTTTTTTTAATGTAAATATGTCATTTAATTTTGACTTCTTCTGTCCTAGGTCACGAGAAGCGAGGCAAGGACAAGGGAGCTAAAAACGTGCTAGTGATGGGCAGTAAAGCAAAAGGCATAGATCGTCTGACTGGGAGAGCCAGGAGGTCAGTAACAGTAACAGTTAAACATCATCCACATCAGTGCCACACACACAACCGCCTGATGTTAAAGTTGATTCAACCGATGGGATGTCTCTCACCACAGCTGCATTCAAGTGTTACGAGAAAACGTACTATGACTAATGAAATCTGCGAAACGAATGTGGGAAGGCCCACTGTTGTTTTCCTGCACTGTGCCCTAATGCACAAATTCCCCTGGATGTCATGAGACTTGATTTAGAAGTTGCGGCAGCTGACTAAATAACCCAGAAGGCCCCATGTGTGTCTCACTGCATTAACTTCTTTTTCTCCTCCAGCCTTCCTCTGTTGTGAAACAAGCCACTGTGCTGGGTGGCGAGGAGGCTTTCGGTGTTACCCAAGCTTTGCTCTTTATCTCAAAAAACCGCAAGGCCACAGACCTGGAAGTGAGGCATTATAGCCTTTTAGTGTGGAAGTGTAATGTGCCGGATGACTTCCTCTCTATGCAAATGGGATGGAGGTTGGAAAGGGTTAGGAGAAGTGCAAAACAACATTCAGGTGTGTCCTGACAGGTTCCTGTTGTTAGGCTGTGCTGATGCCACAGCTGGTAATAAATTGTAGTGTAATGAGAGGCAGCCCACAGGCCACTCAGGCTACAACAGCTGAGACCTAAGCTAACTAGAGCTAAGCTACCAACAGCTTTCTGTCTTCATGTTTCTCATACTTTGCTTTCTCTTCCATGACTATGCAATGTGAACGGAGCAGGTCAATGTTTTTGGAAGCGCACATATTTGCTTTGTTGCTGATAGCTAGTTGAGAAGACTGATACCACTCATGTCTGTATGGTATATATGAAGCTACAACCAAGACAGGGTTAGCTTAGCTCAGCATGAAGACTGGAAACTAGGCCCCTAGGAAATGCGCCAAGTTTGAAGCCAATTTTTGCTGGCACCAAAAACTGGATTTCCAACTGTGCATCATGTGATGCCCTGTGACCCAAAAAATTTTTTTCCCATAGACTTACAAGGTGAAAGAAACAGTTGTAAATCAGTGGGTACATTTTTTTTTGAGTGTCACAACCACCACAAAATGACTTGTTTTACTATCAGAATTTAATCCAGGGCGTTGGTGGCTTAGTGATTAGAGCACGCGCCCCATGTACAAGGCTGTTGCCGCAGTGGCCTGGGTTTGACTCCAGCCTGTGGTCCTTTACTGCATGTCACTCCCTCTCTCTTTCTCTCCCTTTCACGCTTGTCTGTCCTATCAATTAAAGGCAAAAATGCCCCAAAAAATATCTTAAAAAACAAAAAAAAATTTAATCCATTTGGTACAGTAACATTTAAAAAGTCTAGAAGAGCCGCATGATTACATCTTTTTATCCAAGTTAGTGGAGCGCTTAACCAGAAGTTGCTGGCTGGCCCTGCGGGGATTTCTAGTACACTTGCTCTGTTGGCCCAATTTTATGCCACAAACAAACATTATTGGCTCCATGTGCCACGGAGCAACTTCCCTAGGAATGAACAGGGTCCTGGGTTTAATGCTGTATCCACTTTTTATACATCCATGCTTGAATCGGTGAAAAAAGCTATCCTAGCTCAGTCCAAAGGTGAAGGCTTTACAGGCTTGTTGTTCTGGTAAATGCATTTACACTTCAAAAATCATGAAAGTGGAGTTCATTTGTGAGGATTATCTCGCTGAACAAAACGTGAAAGTATTATAAACATTTGTTTGCCACACATCTTATCTTCTGCAATAATCCAAAATCCAATGGACTGATGAGGGAACCAGGCCCACAGAAAGACTTCTCTCTCTCACTCTACTACATGTTGAATTTGACATTTTGATGACGATATAAAAGGGATATATTGTGCAGCCCTATCTATTAGCGTCAGTAAAGTTATTCAGTTAACTAATTTAATCTTCTTTTATTTAATCAGCATTTTGCTACTTTAGGACTGAGCTAAGCTAGCTGTTTTCCTATTCCCTGCCTTTATGCTAAGCTAAGCTAACTGGCTGTTGGATGAGAGCAGTATCTTCTCATCCAAATCTCTTTCCAAATTGTTTCCTCTAAGTTACATGTGGTAATGGGGGGAAAAATAGAAGATTTTTAACACACTCTGTCTAAATTGTCACAGATTGGTTTTTTTTTAAAGTGCCTTTATTTTTTAGATGGCAGGCAAATGAAGATGGAGAGAGACTACAGGTGAGAAATCGAACCTGCGTGAGTGTGAATATGAATTGGCTGATAAATGTTACTGAAGATGCAGGAATGATTTGTACTAATCTCATCTCCTAGTCTTCTGACACGACATTAGAGGAATTCTTGGAGGAACTCGACGCCCTCACAGATCCTGAGTTAGAAAATCTGAAGGATGAGGACTTGAAAATGAAGCTGTCGCCCAGCCCAGATTCACTGCGTACATCTGAGGAAGTGAGTGGATCCACAGATTCCCCGAGAGAGGACACCCCCACTCAGGGGAAGGCAGAGGCCTCGTCCCCTCGGGGCTCGGAGAAGAAAGTACGCTTCTCAGAGGAACTCATCCAGGGGGCTCATACCACAGGCTCTCAGGACTCTGCCAGCTCAGAATCGAAAAGTGCGAGCTCCTTAAAAGCTTCCTCACCGAAAAAACCCCAACAAAAAGCGCAGGAGCTGCAGCAGCCTCTTGAAAGTGCCAAGCAGGACGATGCTAGTCCGCAAGATCAGGGAGGTGGTCCATCTGCACCTCCTGTAGCCCCACAGCAGGCTCCTGAAACTGAATGTACTAAACAAGACAGCACCCTCCCCCAAACTCCCAGCTCCCCCTCTACTGAAAAAGCCTGCACCTCTCTCCAGGAGAGCTCTGTGCAGCCTTTAGAGCTCGCCAAGTGCAACATCAGCAACACAAACACAGGTACACAAAAGCTTCAATCGCCCTGACTTTACTACATCTGGATGGCGTATAGCTAAACTAATGTTGTTTTTATTTTTCAAAGAGGAACTAATAGACTCCGGTCTGTCTGTCCTGAGCCTGGAGTCAGGAGAAACACACCCAACACACTCCACCAGCAGCGACAAGGTCAGTGTGCGAGACGGGAGGAGGGATGAGAGAATCAATAGATGTGTAAATGGACCGATAGAGGGAAGTGCAAATGGATGATGAGTTAAATGGATGAAGAGAGAGCAGTATATCTGCACTGCAGCTGTGTGATATCCAATTTCGGTTTAAGTACATTCATCACCTCTGAGGCCTGTTGGAGTGCAGCAGAAATAGTCTCATGAGAGAGTGCCTCTTTATCTCATCCACCGCTGAAACAGCCTGATAATGCATCTAACAGCCCACTTAAATCATTCATATAGGAAAGAGATGAATAATGGACTCTGAATTATGGAATAGAAATAAGCTTTAACTAACAAGTTTGTGTATGTTTCTCTCTTTTCTTGCAGGCAAGAGAGCATGGGAAGATTGTTTGACATTTTCGGGATGTAAATACAGAAACCAAATGACAGCGACACAGAGCCTTCGCCTCTTTGTATTTGCATTGCGCTTCAGGTAGCTCGTTTGAGGTACCCTGTTTATGGCTTACACACAAAACCATGGTTTGTATACTTTGCTGTGGCGTGTCCCACCTGTGGAAGTTTTCAAATTGTCTAAAATTTGATGAAGGAATGGTCGAACATTTTTCTTGCTCAAATATTTTTTTACATCCAAGCACTTTATGAGTATGAAAGCATGAGTACTGACACGTGGATTCAGTATGTTGGTACGCTGCTTGAGTGCAATATCATTGAATGTTTACATTTGTATGAAGATTTCAAGGTACATATCAGGAGGCTAGCTAATCCGTTACGCCAGAGATACTGGATGAAGCGAGATACCCAACTCAGCTTACTTCCTGATTCAGTGACGTCAGCGCCACGCCCCCGTAGGAAACTTGCGGCAGCTCTGAATGTATTGTCGTCAATGAGGAAAATGAACGTGATCACAATTTATGATCAATTCTTTCGCCAAATAGTCACTAAAGTAAATATTGGGTTCATTTTCCACAAGCCACACATCTTACCAACATTCTGACACTAAAGCTGCATTTTTCATCTGCACAGATCAAGAGAAAGTTAACTTTGTTTGAGCCCTGTCCGTCTCAGAAAACAAGTTCTTGCGAGATCTCATGATCTTGATAAACAGGCGGTAAAATCACAGTTAGTTTACAAACAGTTATTTACCGCTAGTAATAAATAAAAAATGCCCAAGCTTTGTGCAGCAATAGGCTGCAATAATAGGAAGAATGTATTTTCATTCCACCTGCTTCTCGATCCGCATACACAGACATCCACAGAGCCTCTGTTCAACACGGTGGTGGGGAGGGGGGTTGAGGGAGAACAGGCTCTGATTGGAGGGAGAGCTAACCACGCCCACTTAGGAGACAGGAAGAGTAACCGTTTTCTTAACATTGGATAAGCCTACAGTTGGGTATCTCCCTTCATCCAATATCTCTGGTTACACTTTGATAGCCCTTGAAAATTCAGCCACAGTCAAATTATCTAGTGCCTGATTCTGCCTTCGAGGTATTTTCAATTAAAGAAATGAAGTCTGTGTTATATAACGATACAGTAGTGACAGTCTGTACTTCTGCACTCAGAACTGTGTGAGTAGATATTGTTTATTAACTCCTTCCAGTATCGGTCATTAGCCTTTCACCAATCAGAAATCAATACACTATTGAAGGGCACATTTGAGACTTATTGTCTAATCGGCCACTGACATTGTTAAGTTTATAAAATTTTCTTGCTGACATAAACGTTTTTGTTATTTAGAGCATTTAAAGGGGCACTCCATCCATTTTAGACATCAAGCTCAGTTAGCTAACTCATCAGTGCTACTCACCTTATAGAAACAGTAGTGCAATGTCTTCTGTGGCTCTGGAGGAGCTTCATCAAGTCGGACAAAATAACCCTGATGATGTCACAGTGATGTCATCACAGTTACCTCAATTGTAAAATCATAGATTGAGCCCAGATAGAGCCCACATTAAAAAATGGAGGGATAGTATGTCTTTGTAGATGATCTTACAAAGATATACTATCAAGGTGCGTTATGGGAAGTGTAGTACCCAGTTTTTTGGCACTCGGCCCATCCTAGGAACCTAAAGTCAGGATATCCAACCAAATCTCAATCCTCGTCTATGGCAGTTTTAGACACCTAGAGCAACTGATGCAGTGTAAAGAGAGAGGAAGTCCACGAAAGGATGAGGTTTGGGTTGATGGATAGGTCTAACAAATACAAGACTTTCACCCAGGAGACCACCTGTTTGTGTCCCATGTGAAACCAAAAGTCAGTGTTATTTTTTTTAGTTTTTTTAGACAACATTCCGTAGAATACGTCAAGATAAGTTACGTTACCAAAGTACTTATTTTAACCCAAACCATGATCTTTTTTTCTAATCCTAACCAAGTATTTTTGTTGCCTAAACTTAAGGTAGTTTTGGTGACAAAGCCTACATTTCCTGTGAACACAGATGTTTATTTTGAAAAGACGCTAAGCACATAAAGACTAGAAATTGACATGGAAACTGACACATGGAAACTGATACATCTAAAACTGACGCTAGAGAGGTACATGGAGCATCATAGTTTGAAGAGTAGGAGCACTGACCAATCTGCCCTATTTTGATGAGTTAGAAGTGACAACATGTTGGAATGTCTCAGTCTATGCTACATAGTTTTTGACATTGTAATTTTAATCCATGTCTGTAAAGTCCCCAAACTTTTTATAGAAATACAGATCTAAATCGTTGGAGTGCCCCTTTAATGCTAAGCTAACATCTAGCTAATAGCAAAATCCATATTACTGGCATAAACATATTTTGCTTGACTGATGTTCAGTAACACTGCGGAACTAGAATCTCAAACTTGTCCTTTAACATATTGTCATTTTGTTCCATAACGTTGGCACAGCTGAATCCCAATTATCTGTCTTCCTCAGACACTTGTATGTTCAATATGGAATTGTTATGTATATGTATAATTTTACAAATTTGAACAATTAACAGCAGAGACATAAAAGTCAATGTTTTGTGATTCGAAAACTAATTTGGGGACTAAAATTACTATTTTCTTTAATAGTTTGCTCATGCTGTTTTTAAACAACCAGTGTAAAGCATCCCGGTACATAACAGTCCCCACCCTTTTTCTCTGTTGAGACTTTTGGCCCCTGTGGGACCGACGAAATTGAGGGCTCAGCCTTTTGTCCACAGTCAAAACACTGGGCCTGTTGACATTGTTTTGTCATTTCTTCTCTTTTATAATCACGAAAGACAAGAAATATTTTTGAAAAGCTGACGGAGCTTAAAGAATTTCGCCAGTTGTTGTGCCTTGCATATCGGCTTCTTCAGATAATGAAGGTGTACCTTTACATCATGGCTTGTACCATAACATACAGTCGCGTTAAATGTACTGTACTAACAGTTCAGCATTGATTTTATTTATTTGCCTCTTCATTTGGACAACAGAATGTTAACTCGAATGATCTAAACAATGTCCGTGTGCATTGTAGTAGCTGTTTTTTCTTCTTCTCTGTGACATGTATGGATTTGTTTTTATTTATTGCCAGTCTCTGGTTTTATTTTTGGTATCAAGTGACAACTATAATAAGAAGCCTTACAAGAACTCTGTCCTCAAAGACGTTTTTGGCTTTTGTCAGTGCTACAGTATAGTAAACAGTTATGTAACCGAAAGTAGAGAACATAGTGGACATGCTCTGAGCTGCGGAGCCCTGTCAGCTTCGACAGTGGTTACATAAAATACAAATCATCAGGAATCTAGTAGAAGCACACTGAAAAACATCAAGAAGCGAGTCACAAGGTTTGAGGCCAGTCTAAACATAAATAAAGAACAAGTGCTGTGTTTGAGTCGGGGCCTTATTCTATATTATATATGGATAGAAAGTGAAGGAAACTGTACAGATTACCTCTGAAATATTTAAAATTCCCTGTGGGATTCAATTTAGTGAGATGAAAGTTAGGACCTACAACCATAGAGCAGTTGTACTTTTGTCCTTGTTTAGCATTTAGTTAGTAGACATATGCATTTTCACCTCGCTTGAATGTCAGATTTAGGAGGTGGTTGTAATTGTCCTGCTCCACCTGGGTGTACACTGCTGTTTTCACATCCACTCATACGGAAGGAATAATCGTGAGTGTCTGTGTATGAGTGTGTGTGTCAAGGTTTGATCCATGCTAATTTAAATCTGTGTGCAACATAGCTTAATTTACTGTAGATCAATTTGGAAGGAGGCATACGGAACATCAATAAAGTTTTTCTGTATTTCAAACATCATGACTGGCATCGTTTTTTTGCACTGTCACCCTCCCTCCCCCGCCTCTCACTCTTTGTTGCACCTGCGGTAAGTACCACAGACATGAATACAGTCCCATCTCTGGAGAGTTGTTGCGTCGTAAAAAAAACCAAAGAGGGCTGCTGTGGTGAATCTCCCAAAGTAAAGAGGGCAGATGTGACCGAAACGTAGCACTGCAGCATCAGCAGTCCATATCGTTACACCTCGCTCCACTGAGTCTGCTTTCGTGCTGGATTTGATTAATTTCAGATGAGCTCTCTACAGGGCGGTCGCATTGGAAACGGCTCCCTCTCAGCCCTACAGGTGGGACCTCTTATAGGTGCTACTATTTTAATTATCTCATCCCAAGGCTATCTCCATAGCAGCCTTCTCCCACTGAGGCTTTGGGGTGTGTGACCTACTGTACAACAACTGCAGCAGCTTCAGTCTCCTTGAAAATGTTTTACTTTCTTTGTAACACAAGCCTGAAGGTTTTTGATTCCTGTATATAAAATTATGAAAACACACAGTTTCCGAATTGAGACACTAACACTCCTGGTTCACTTTGGTGCTAAGCTAGCTAATAGTTTGAAGGGTCTGACGCAATAGTACAGAACTACAGTGGGGGTGTTGATATTATGGAAATGAGTCCTGTAGGCTGTTAGAGGATTGAAGTGCAGTGTAGGATTATGTCAGCTGCGCTCTGCACAAGCTTGCCTTCCTGAGGAAAAAAAAAAAGCTCAACTTTTGGGCAGAGCAGCTTTGAAACAAGGTGAGACAGGATCTGTTTTTGTGTGTGATATCACAGGCTCCCTGACAGTAGCTTTCCCTCTGCTGTCACTAACTCATGCAGGCTGCGGTGATGCTCGAGGTTAAAGATGGAAAGGTTTTTGCTTTAACTTATCATTATGCAGTAAATGTTGATTGCACTGTGATGGCTGCAGAGTAATGACACCATCAGTGTTTAGATTGGTTCCCTGAAAGCCTTGCTTTCACCATGCAATTCTGTCTGCCACCAGCTATGAGCTGCCGGGAAAACGAAGGCTGGATTTACAAAAAACAGGAAGAGGATAACGCTTTTGTTTTAGCTATCGTTATTTACCAAAGAGTATCAATGTACGTTCTTTGCAGTTACTGTCCCCAGCAGCAGAAATGGCAGACGATGGAGCAGTCAAAGTAAAAGTGGAAAGCAAAATGCAGTCCTGAGTCATTGGTGGGCGCTAAAGAAAAACGTAAAGTGATCTAATTGGCTTAGCGAAGGCAGCACCAACAATAACAGCACTTGGAAACACAAAGAAGGGAGTTAAAAAGTTGTTTTTCCACTCAAACTTTTGACTGCAAAATGATTTGATATAATTACTGTAAAGCAATAATTCAAGCTTTTAGGGAAAATGCTCTCAAAACAAGTGTAATTAGAGTTTTATAAGAAGATAAATTGAATTTTTATACATATCCAGCAAATTCTAAGCCATAGCAACCTATTAGCTTAGCTTAGCATAAAGACTGTAAACAGAGGGAAGAGCTAGCCTGGCTCTGTTTGGAGCACTCAGAGAAATAATTTGCTCTATTTTGTCAGGTTTATGTATTCCAGTTACACATAAAATGTCCATCTATCTTGAGTAAAGTAATTCAAATCTAGTCAACCT